AAAGACAATTCATAATCAAAGTATCAAAAAGCATATGCAATTTAATTAGTGTTTGTCCTAATTAGGCCTGTCGCGATAATCAATAAATTGACTTATCGTGCAATAAATAAAAATGGACTCGATAACTTTTTTGAGCTCGATAAATTGCCGTTTACATGCGTGTTTGTTTACATAAGGATGTGACCAGCATTTTAGCCCGGCGGCTGTGGCTGCCAACCCGGCGCGCTGTGAGGGGCGGGGCTCAAACACAGCCCATGACACAGCCAGGTCAGGACACTCTGCGTACAGCAGTGTAGCAGAATTACCAAATTGTACCAAATTAATAATATAGAGACAAGCAGGAGACAACGTGTGACTTAATCGAGGGGGATTTGAAGTTAAATGGAAGTGGTTGCAAAACCTAATATTATGGATTCAAGCCAAATCAACGAGGCGAACCTACGGACTTGAATGTTTTTCGTCACATTTGTTTCAAAAATGTAGCAACAAAAGCTAGCAATACGACCAACCTTAAACTGCACCTGAAACACAACCACCCCATTCCGTTTTTCCAGCTGGGAGCAAACAACAGTTTGCAATCAAAGATGCATTTGCCCGACAATGCAACATGTTGGCGTTCCTTGCTCGAAATTTTTGAAATACAGATTTTGATATGGCCTGTTGAGGCATCTGGGTCTTTGTATGGACAGTGGACTGTACACTTGACTGTTGTTTTAAGGAGGGTTTTATTGCTTGTGAGACAATTTGTGCTCATATTTATTTATTTATACATATATATGAGGGAGAGAGAGCTCTGTTTTCCAGCCTGAGTCTATTTAATTGATTGTTATGGTTGCTTGTGATTTTTTTGTGTATTGATTGCATTCAAAAACTGTTAAAACGCAGACACATTGTATGTTTTAAACTCATTGTTTATCCTTAAATATACTGTTTAATGCTATTATAAAAGAAGTCCACATTTCCAGGTTTCTGCTTATGTTTTAGTGTGAAATCACTGATAATGTTCCCAACACCCTTTACTGCACCACAGGAAGTAAAAACGTTTTCTAAAACCAAACACTAAAAAAAAAATCATATAAGAAAGTTAATGCTTATTATTACACAGCTCAGTTGAAGACTTGATTCTGATTGGTCAATTTGGACATTCTAGAGGTTAATCTTTCTGCTCTCCTTTGCTCAGGACGACGCTCTGCAGAAGGGACTACAGTGCTGTCATATCAATCCGCGGAAAGAAGTCCGGCCATTTTAATGTTGTTAATTGAACAAGGCTCTGGCAGTGTTTTAAGACAATGGACATAGAAAATGGAAAAGAAAATACGGCATCCAAGAGATCTACTCTCTTGGATGCCGCATTTTCTTTTCGGTAAAAATAAGTAATACCTGGTTTTTAGACTCTGATTGTAGTTAAGAACGCTCTATATTTTTTTAGGAAAGTAGAAGTCTTTGGTCAGCATTGAGACGATGCAGGGGATCTGCTTCTTCCCGCTGTACCCCGGCAAGTTGGAGGAGGACTCAAAGTGCAGCGCCACCTTGCGGTTGACTCGGGTCATGATCTGCATGAGCTCCAGCTCTCCGCTGAATCTCTGCAGCATCTCACACAGAGACTGCATGAACCAGGAGCCGTTGCTTTGGTTCCTCCATGAGTAGTAGCCTGAAGGACAGTGTGAACACTGATTACAAGGCGCACACACACTGTAGTGCCGATTCAGCTTTATACAGGTATCAGACAGTGTGTCTTTTCATGAAAATAACGCATAAAGGCAGGAAATTATAGCAAGACAAGAAGTATTTAACTATGGTATAATGGCCATTGTAGGAAATGTTATTAATAATAATTATAGCGCCAGGTGATACAAAAATAAAACGAGACGATTAAAGTTGTACATTCATGAGAGCATAACTTGAATATTTTTTCACCATGTTGTTTTCTTCTAAATAGTTAAATTCCCAGCTATGTTTCTACAAAGTCCATCAAATTACGATGGTATGGAGTTTTTGTGATAAAATCTGAATTATTTCTTATATGTTTTATTTTTTTACCATATCCTATATTACATCCTTTGTATTTTTTAGACTTAAATCATTGCCCTTATACTCCATTTGACTTTTCTAACACTTCTGTTTGAAGTTACCTGGAGCAGTGGAATAAGCATACAGGAAGTCTGCCTCCACTGGAATCCTCTCAGATGATGATGATTGGGCATCCACACTGTCAGCCTCAATGCAGGATCCCTCGTCCAGGCCCGACCCACGGCACGCCTGCAGAGGACAGGGGTCAGCTGCATATGTTACCATTAATAGATGTACACTAAGTGTGATGGTGTTTCATGGTGCTACAGAAGCTCTGTAAACACTGCATGTGGTTTACAGCTGTAATAACAACCAGTGTTTTTTATTTACTTCCTTCGTCAGGTAAGACAGTGGAATACTTGACATCAGAGAAATCAGCAGAAGACAGACAGGAACTAAAGCTCTGGCAGTGTTTCAAGACAGGTGATGGAAAAGAAAATGTGAACAGACTTGGACAGTTACAGAAAACCTTGTTCAGTGCTGCTGATAATCTTTTGTTATCGGAAGCAATACGGTATTTTTGATATCAATAAAATCATTAAAAAATCATTATTTTTAGGCGATTTTCAAAACCCTCTGCTCCGCGTCTTGATCCTGCTCAACCGGTCAGTGTTATTTTTTCATTAGTGACTGGCTCGCGCACATTACCCCTTACTTTAAAAAAAAGGGTAAACCACATTTGGTGTGGATTTCCAAAAGTTTGAAAAACAGAACTTCCTTGTTCTCTTTGCTTGGATTGCAAACTATCTACGTTCTGAACAGCTGAATCTTGTTATATAATTGCAGAGTGCAGATATGAGAGGGATACATTTTACAGTGTTTTGGTTGACTTGGATATTTAGCCTGTTTTTATTCGGCCAATAGGGACGATCCTGATACTAAACCAAGGAGCAAATTCTGCTGTAATGAATGTCAGCAGGGGCAGTTTTTGTTGCAGGTTTTTTCCAATACAACCCCCCGAGAGAGAGCCTCGTTTGCATTATTTTGCATGAACAGCTAGTGAAGGTTCCTTCTTTGAAATCCCAAAGATAAACTGGAAAACTCTTCTTTGTTAGCCAAATAACTTAGTGAATTTAAATGTATATTTTATTGTTAAAGTTTAAAATGGAAAAAGTAAGCTTTACTGAGCTTTTATAGAGTGGTACAGGTATGATATATTTTAGGATGCCGACCAGGAAGTTAGAATCGCACAAGTTCGCTAGACTAAAATACAATGGGATCTCCCATTCGCTTTTAAGATATTGTAGAGACTAAGCTCTGTGGCAAACTAGCTTTCATAAGACTTCTTTTAGCAGGATAATCTCCATATCTTTACCCGACTTTTATGTTTGTGAAGCCTAAATGCAATCACCAGAATTAAAAGTCAGACCACAGTCACATGAGGTCACGTCCACATTGCTAAGTTAAAGGCAGCTAATGTTCGGCGTGATGATGTTTCGTAGTTTCATTTAGCCAATTTTTGGCATGAATGGTGCTTTAATAAGACACGTAAGAGCTACAGATATTCACAAATGGGCTATATGTTGATTTAAAAGATGCATCTTGTTAGCTAAAGACGTTATTCAAGATGTTTTTGTTTATTTTTTTACCTGTGTGTAGGCATAACTTATTAACCCTGGCTATAAAAATATTTTTATGTCAAATCAGTGTCAGTATTGCTAGCATTTCAACGACTTATGTGGCAAGAGACAGTACCGGTAAAACAGGTTTGTGTCACTTTGTTTATTTCTCACCTGTATGAAGAAGAGCTTGGGTTTCCCCACCAGACCCCTACAGCGATCTCCTTTAAAGTGCTTAATCAGTTCCTCAAGCTGTTCACAGCCGTCGATACCGTATATCACCCCGTCATCTCCGTGACTCAGCAACACACAAGCAAATGATGCATTTTGACTGTGGTCCGTCTTGGATGCTAGAGGCACAAGCGAGAAAAAACAAGACAAGAGTAAACTTGTCAGATTTTGATTTCACACAGTGGTAGTTTGGAATGGATGAAACACTGGTTTCTGTTACCATTACACAACAGTTGTTTCATCTCCTTCACGGTCTGATCATTGGCAAACTGGACCTTATAACCCATCTCAGAGAAGGTCTTCATGGCAGCGGCAGCATCTAAATCCGTCCCGTTACGAGCAGTCATCCCTAGAGAGACACAAACACAAGTAGAGCAGTCCAGGGACGGGATTACTTTGATATGAAATTAACATTTTCAACTCATACTAAAAATGTGGACAGCTAATATTTAGGGGTGCTCCGATCGATTGGCCACCAATCGATATCCGCCGATACTCACTCTCTGCCGATCGATCGGTGCTCTCTAAAGGCCACTACACACCAACCTGAGACCAAAGAACGCGTACCGAAGGCGTCCCGACTTTTACGTCGGCTACGCCGCCCGCCTACGCCGCCGCCTACGCCGCCGCCTACGAACGTGTGTAGTGTGTATTCGTCATTCAACATGTTGAATCGGCCGCGGGAGGTGTGAAAATGTGTTTTGGACAGTCTGCCGTGGTTCCATCTAGGGCTGCACGATATTGAAAAAAACTGACATTGCGATTTTTTATTCCCTGCGATATATATTGCGTTTTTTTTAACTATATTTAACCGGATGAAGGTATTGTCCTCCTGTGCCTCGCTAATTTTTTACCGGTGTTTTGATGGTCTGCAAACTAGCGGGGCGGGGCCTGCTGTGATCTGATCAAGAATGATTGTGATTGGTGGTTTGCTGTGCATGCAGAGCCTGCATGTCACTCACTCAAGTACCCCCGACAAGAGAGCCGCGCAAGTTTTCCTTTTGTAGGAAGCAGCAAAAATAATTGTAAAATGACGTGTTTGAGTTAATTCACCTACTTAAGCACTGAGCCTGTTTTTCAGGTCTTAGGCTCGAAATGACATTCCCAGAACAAATGACAATACCTTCCCTTCTAAAAGGGTTACATTAATAATCTTTTCTTTCAAAGTAATGATAAACCTGTGAGTTGGATGTAGAAAAGTCAGAATCAATATAGATGTTTTTTATTTGAAAGAAAATTCAGATTGAACAAAGTAAAAAACTGTAAATTATAGTGTCCGTCCAAACATTCTTTTTTACTTATAGTGAAAACTACCCTTGGATGATGGTAAGGTAGACTAAAAGCTTTAGGAATCCAAAGTACAACATATAATAAGTACCCTGTATCAAGATTGATGCAAAACAAGTGACATTTGACCTTTTTAAGAGAGATTTAGCAAAAAAAACACTTCTGGGGTCATTTGGGTGGATTTTCCATATCTCTGGCCCCCCTTGGTCGATTTTGACGAATGAAATCTCTTTATAACCGCTAGAGCCAATGGAATCGAGGGGAAGTTCGTACACACACAAACACATGGACAAATAAGGAGTGAGAGTGACGCGTAGCCAAAACCGGAAGCTGCATACACTCT